GCATGTTGGGCTGAACACAGAGGAAGGAGAAAATCCGAGACTGAGGCTTTGAGATTATGTTTTGAGAAGGAGAGTTAAGGTGGTGGCGAAGGAGGCTGCGTCAGCCTCGATGACAGATGGAGAAGAGAACTGAAAATTTGAGAGGGAGTGATGAACCTATTAGAACAAGAAATCAAAGAAGCGCCAAGTACACAAAATATTATTCCCAGATTTACAAAGCAGAACTCATTGGCATATAAGTGCCTGTTTGATACACTTTAATTTAATTTTTGGTTTGCTAACAGATCATTTTCAATCACACATTTACACAGTAATATATTCTACACCTATATCAAAAACTTTTCTTTACTTATTAATCACACATTCTCCTAAAGATCGCTATTCAAACCTCCTTTTTTCTACCATAATGGTTGTCAAACAAGTATCACAAATTTTAGGGCTTAGGCATTGCACCCTTCTGTACAAATCAAAAGACCCAACTCAAACCCTTAAAGGTCAGTCCACGCTGCTTCTATAAACCAGGAGCCGTCAAACTGAAGATCCAAACACACGCTTCTCACAACAAGAATTATAGAGACTCAGAATCACTCGAAAACTAGAAGGAATCAACCAACCAAGGGTTGGAGATCAACAGAAAAGATGAAGGAAAAGGAAAAGACTCAAAGAGAAAATTCCAGCAAACTCATTATACGGCTGCTTCCACAAACCTGATTTGATTCTACTGAAGAAGCTCTCTGTGATGCGACAATGATACTGAAATTTCAACATGACCATACTTCCAGCAAACTCATTATTGGCGTTAGAAAACCTTTCGAGCCACAAGTTCAAGCAAACTCTCTAAAGGTCGTCATGATAATAAACGAACATTGAAAATTATTCTTTCACTGGAAACGTACTGAAAGAATAAAAAAAGAAGAAAAGGATAATCCTTGTTCCACGATTCACAAAAAGCTTAAAATTGTTATAAATAAAGACAAGTTAATGAGCTGAATTGGGACTACATATATAGTTGGACTCGCATACCCATGATCAAATATTCACGTAGCTCTTGGTCTGATCTCAATAACTTGAATAATGAGACGACACTTCCAGTTCCAGAATCTCCCCTTGAACTCCTTAAGAATCATTTTCACGTCCCGATCTTGTTTTTCCATGACGAAGAACTCTCCCAACTCAACTTCCATCCATCCATCACCTCTGAGCTTGGGATATTTTCTATTGGACTTTGTGGTCATGTTGTCCACCCGTCTAATTACAAGAGAGATTGGTTGCATGAAAAATGTGAAGCTAGGAACAGTCTGGCACCTTTGCCTCTGTTCTTCATCAGGATCTATACAGACAATTTGTTGGTTAGTTTCTTGTCCAATAATTATCCAAGCCTCAGCAAGTCGGTACTGAAATCCTTTGGTTCTTGATTTCGGAGTGAACACGAGGTAAGCTGCATATTTAGTTCCTGAAGAAAGTATGCCAGAATTTATCTTGCCACGAATTTCAAACCCAAGCACGGCGCGAAACTCTGCGGCCTCTGGAAATCTGAATCAAACATGCAACGAACTGTCAATCGAGATAATTAATAGAAGAAAAAGATACTTGTTATTTTTATAGTACCTGGAGTTAGGATAAGAGATCCATTGCCAAAATTTAGGTACATCACCCTTCGCAATAAAGAGGTCCCTTGAAGCCAGCATAAAGCACTTCTTTCCTGTGCTTTCCTCCAATGAAAAGCTCTACAACAACAGAGAAGCAGTAAAACAGAGAAGCAATAGAAGCAGGAAAATTAGTTGGAAGATATGGTTATATTACCTTGGTGCCACCGTCGATGAGGATATGCTTATGACAGAGGTAAAGATAAAGCTCTTTCTTGGTACGAAATTTAGTGAGAAACGAATCAGCACCGTCAATTGATCGGGAAAAAATGTCACGATAATCCGTCGGCAGAAACCTCTCCCAGACGGCATCAGATTCCGCAGCCGAACAGAACGTGGAATTTACCGACGACAGCCGGCAGGCATCCTCAGGGCTTGTAAGCGACAGCACGTTCGCTATGCAACCCTCCGGCAGCTCTTGGAAATCAGTGCAGCTCTCGATCGACATCGTTTCTCCGTCTCTCTATGTATCGCTACGTGTTTATATTTGTTATGGAGCAAAGGGAAGACCTAATGCAAATAGAGATAGACCAGGGTATTATTTGATGACGGTTTAATATTTTGTTAGGAAACAAAGATAAGTTTTACATATTCTTGGTGTTTGTGTTTTAATCAATTTGTAATTGTAACTATCATTCGAACTTTATTAATATCAATCCATTTTTAAATTAAAATTGAAGGAAATTTTGCCGTAGAGATCTCAACATTTCAAACAGTGTTGATAGATCTCAACCTTTTAAATCGTAGCAAACACCTTCCAAATCTTACAAAAATATGCGATAAAATGACATATAGACGATTTTCGTTCCAAAATTATTTAGTTGACAAAGGAAATCAAACGTTAGACTATAATTTGATCAATTTTAAAAGGACTAATGATCTTTTAATCTTTAATTAATTAAAATAAGAGAAATTTGCATCAAAGGTTCTAATCGACTGGTGAGTAGATAATTAGCCATTGGTATTCGCAAGCAATTAGCCATTCGTTTGAGTTTATAATTTACAGTTAGCACTCAAATTTCGGTTTGTGGATTTTCTTCATGTACATTTTGTTTTCAAATAGATGATCACAAAATTTGATTGGGACAAAATTTCATCAATTATAAGCAATTTCCTTTATTCTTCTATTTGTATTTTCAATTTGCTATTTGTACAATCATTTTGACATATGAACGAATAATTTGATAGAAAAAAAAAATTAGTTTGACATTAATTTTTATTTTTTTTTCAAATTAATTGCACATATAGCATGACTCCTCTATTTTAATGAAAATGGGATGAATAGATAAGTATGTTGGGGAAACTTCAAATGTCCCCATTTACAAACAATCATAACTTTCTAATCAGTAATCATAAGTGATGATCTCTTTGATATAATAAGATCCTCTCTGAATTCCATTTTTACGATGAAAATGCATTTTGAAATAGTATTTTGATAGAGAATGTATGGATAAAATATAAAGAAAATTTTTGAATTTGCGTGCAATATTATTTTATTGAAGAATGTGTGATTAAAAATAAGAGAAAAAATGTATTTTGACAATAATGGAGATCAAACAAGACTAAGATAGAAATTTAGCTATTTAAAGTTAATCAATTACTAAATGAAGGTAAAATAAAAAAGATATTAATGTGGATAACATATTCCATCCACTATTAGTGTGTGAATGCTAATAGTTTATATAAGAAATTATGGAACATTGCATAGTTTCTAACATTTTAATTGTGGTTAAGTTCCTTAACTTTTACTTGTGGTAGAAATTATTCCCTTAATTTTTTATTTTTTTACCGAATTCTTATCTTCCGTCTTTCATTAATTAGTACATCTCATTCTTGATGATAATTTATTTCAAAATATTTTGTTTTCATGCTTCGAAATTCGGAAAAATATTTTGTCGTACTTTTTTATTTATTTTATTTTTTTAAACATGATGAGAAAATAAGTTGCTATACGCTATTTTAACGGATTTTTCAGACATAAACTATTATTAAATACAAATTATGTTAACCACTAGAAAATTTGAGGATAAGGATGTAATGAAAAATCGTTAGGGACATAAATGTTATAATGATTAAAGAACATTAAACGTAATTAAAATACGATGTAAGATATAAAAATTATAGTGTGCATATAATTACCATATCTAATGTCCAAATAAACAACTATGTACCATCAATAAACAAGAAAGAAATTCATTTCATCGCACATTTATATACTATATTAAAAATGAAAGAAAAAATGGGCAATAGAATCTGCCTTGGGTCGGTGAAGTCTCACTTAGGGGTGGATGCGTTAAGGGTCCAATGAGTGCAACAAACCCATTAAAGGGCCCAGAGGGTGCAATTTCACCCATTGACCTTAATTTTTGACATTTACAAAGTAGTTTACATAATTTCTTTAGGTGGAAATTACATAAAATCAGGTACTTAAATTTTCAAATTCAAAGTTCAGTGGTAAGTATATTTATGCTAATATCAGATAATATTAATTCCCTCTATTCAATTAAAAACCTTATTCATTTCACCCAATTTTGAAACCTAATTTCCGTCTCTTCCTTTTCTCTTCTCGGCAACGCATTCATCCACTGCAAAGGCGATGAAGGAAATACGTCGATGCCGAAGTCAGCGAGGAGAGGTGAAGCTGCTGGTTTTCGATCTTCTAGTACGGGCCATGTTTGAATAGGTCGCCGTTCACAGTAGTGTGGCGATCTACTATTCACAGTTGCCGTCGTCAACCTTTCTATTTTTCGATCTGCTGTTCTCTCTTTATACCCTCTTCCTATTGCCGTCATCGTTGAGAAGCGCCCGCCACTTGCTGTGAATGGTAACTCTTAGTTTTGCAACCCGCGATGTGCAACGCCCAATCTAAGCTCCGTTGTGTGAGGCGATAGCTCGGTACGATCGCTACAGCATTTTTGTGTTGTTCTACAGTGGCTTGTGGTATTTTTATGGCGATTTTGCCGATGTTTCTTGGTGGTTTTGTGGTGGTGCTAAGCGGTTTTGTGGAAGTATGACAATGTGGAGTCGGAGTGTGGTGGTGTACTGTGGATGGTACGGTGTCCGATGGTGGCGTGTTGTGGGCGTGCTGGTGTGATGGTGGTACAGGTGCGGTGGTGCTCATGATGAGTGGTGGCAAGAGGCGGTGATGCTCATGTTGGTGTGTTGTTAATGATGGTGGTGGTGGTTGTTGCGGTGACAATAATGGGTGGGGTGTCTGTAACCAATATTTAGGCATTTGTGACCAACTATTTAGGTGTATGTGACCATTTGGCTGATTTGTGACTAACAAACTGTGTCCATGTGACTCATAGATAAAATGTGACATTGTTTCGCGTGGGTTAGTCGCTAACAATTAAAAATGGTCAGACGATTGTGTAAGGGACAAACCTCTTGAGACAAAGTTCCAAAAAGGGGTGTTCTTTTATTGGCGATGACTTTACAATTGGAAATGAAAAACAGCGTGCCTCCAAGGGGCGCAAGCACACGAGTTACTGAAAGAAAAGTGTTTAAGTCTAAAAGTTAAGGAAATGAAAATTACATATTCTCTGTTCGAGAGTTTTGGATTCGGTCATTGCTTCTATGTCCTTTCTCCCTTTTATATTTCATAGACGATCTCTTTGTGATTAACTACTCTCAAAACTGCTTGATCGTCTTATAACTACCCACTTTCTTCGTAGTGGTCATTTTGTCATGAAAACTGCCTTTTAACTGCTGCCATTACCTTTCATCGTTCAACCGCTTTCGATTGAATTCCTTGAGTCGTGGAACGTGATAAGACTGCTTTAACAACTGCCTTGGTAACTGCATTTCTTGATAACTACGACGCGTTATGTCTGTTGATACCTTGGGCGACCTGAAGGTTTGGGCGAGAATAGAATAACAGCTCTGGGCGACCGTATGACACTCTATTCATTCAGATTCTAGGCGACTTGCAAACTTGGGCTATGGCGTTACCGCATTCTTGGACCCCCTTATTTGGGCTTCACTTTGATTCGTTCGATTGGACTTCGTTCTTTGGGCTATCTGATTTGGGGATCCTCCAATTGGGCTTTACTCCTTGGGCTGTTCGATTTGGGGATCCTCCAATTGGGCTTTACTCTTTGGGCTGTTCGATTTGGGGGCTTTACTTCTTGGGCTGTTCGATTTGGGCTGAATTTTTATGTGTCAACAGACATATAATTTAAATGATCTGTGACCTCGAAATAATATGTGACCAACAAAAATTCTGATTTGTGATCACAAAACAATTTGTGACCAACTAATTTAATGATATGTGACCAGTTAATGAATCTGTAACATATAATTATGAATTCGTGACCATTAATCGTTTTATTGTGACTATATTATATTTATTTAATAAATATTTTTAATTAATTAAATATATACCTGAATTTTGAATTTTCAAACTCTATACTTGATTCTTTAAATGGTGTAAAGAATACACCTGAAATATGAATCTTTTCCCTTCCTCTAGTCCATAATTTTAATTTTTGAACCCATAATTTTTACATAAATTTGTCTGCCCCTCTACTGAATCACGTTTTTGGGTCCGTTCCTAGCCTCACTCCATTTTCAACTATTTATCCTCCATTTTTAACACTTTCTTCAATTTAAAGCATGCACACACCTCAATACATTTAGGGCCCGTTTGTTAGGGATTTTGAGAATTGATTTTTTGACCGTTAGAAGAAAAGTGGGGTCCACATGTGAGAGAAGAAGTCAAAAATTACGGCTTGAATAGTAAAATAACGGTAAAAAAATCAATTTTTTGAGGCAAAAAATCTTTACCAAACGGGGCCTTATTAGGAACATCTCCAAAAGACTTTCTAAATATAAAGTGCTATTTACCCCCGTTTGGTCCCCATTAAATTAAATTTCATTTTTCTCTTTCCGATTTTCAATCACACGATCTTTTATAAAATAATGTTATACGTAAATCGAAATTTTTCTTCTTTTTCAGCTACCCACTTTTAAAAAAAAATATTATTCCACTCATTTCAATTTGAGAAAAATGAGGGCCAAACGGGTTCTTATTTTAAAGAGTTAATAAGTTTCATGATACTCTCTATTTAAACTTTTAAAAATAGGGTGGCTTGACTCTTCAAATTTAGAGAGTCAAACTCAATTCTTACTCTTAATGTACAATATTGCATTTAATAAGCCACATATTTCATTGCTCTAATTGTTAAACTATTCAAACAACATTTTAATAGATCGACGATTGAAATAAAATATATGAGAAAAAAATCAATAAATGTTCATTTAAGAAAAACAAAATGGAGAGCATGGTTGGAGTGAAGAAAAACTTGACTTTCTAAATTTAAAGATGTTATTTGTAATGCATAAGGTGCTTTTTATGAATAAAAAAGTCTATTGAAGGTGCTTTAAAAGCATAAATACTATGTTCCATCAACATTACAAGTAAAAAATTAAAGATTTATAAATTACCCAAAAAATAATTAAAATAGAATCTAGCCTTGAATATTAGTGAAAAGGAGGAAAATGATGTTTTAACTTGAAAATCAAACTCGTTT